CACAAAGGCCAGAACTTCTTTTTGACTTCTCTGAACAACAACTCAGATAAGTGATAAGAACTTCTCCTTTGCAAAGTGTATCTCTAACTCACATTCTGGTCTCTGTTGTCAGTTTTTAATGTTCGGTCCGGGATGTTGTGTGTATTTTTGAGTTGCCAGGTCTGAAAACACCGAACAGATGCTTATTCTCATTGGATTAGTATAGGACCTCGGTGTTCAGCAAAATATAGTAGGTAATTTGAGGGGGAATTTTTACTTTACAAATTACTGACATGGCTGTTTCACACGGGATTAACAACACAGGCAATCTCTGCAATTATTACAAATAGCATGTGGTCCCTAGGTCTAACTAATCCCAGCAGAATGGGCTTAAATCAGGACAATTCAAATAATTACTGTGGGTCACAGTTACTGATAATGACAGGAGAAACAAGTACTATTATGTTTTATCTTTAAAAATGTCTGTTTTGTTGAATGATAATTTTAAATGTATTTAAAATCTATTTTTATAATAAATTAATTTAAAAAATTTTAAACGGAGGGCTCATTATTGGGCCAGACGGAAGTCACCTGCAGACCACCAGCAGTTGAATAGCCCAGCGTTAAGTTATGTATGTTCTAAATATCACATAAAACATACTTTGGAATAGTCATTTGTATTCTATAAAAATACTTTGTTACAGTATATAACATTTACTCAATAAATACTGAAAGAAATTAACGTTTGGCTTGAACTGAGTTTTAAACTTTGGCCCCCTCGTGTAATGGGAGTTTGACACTCGTGCATTAAACCAACCAACGTCCAGTTCTGAGAAAACCCACATGTGCACGGGGAGAATATGCAAACTCCATCCAGAAAGCTCCCAGGCTGGGATGAGACGAAGAGGCGACGGTTCTACAAACTGTTCCAACGTTAAACCAGCGACGGGTGAACGTTTAAAAACCTGCACTTTAAAGAACGACGCACGACGAGCTTCAGCTGATTTGAAAGAAATCTGTCAGCATCCAGGTCAGGTTGATGTAAGCGGAGTAACTGATGAATGCACGGACGTTTTCTAATCTGTTAAACAAGCATTAAAAATCTTCAGTGGGCCATGAGAAGGAGTTAAATAAAGTCCAAATTCCAAGAAGATCTCTAAAGAGTTTCTGAAGCAGATTTCCCTCGATGACTCAACAGGCTTTTTTTAATAACCTGGGCTCAGAGGGAGAAGTATTTTCCAAGAGATTATACCATCAGCCCTCACCGTGGATCTCTGTCTTGAACTTGGTCTTCTTTATGCTCACATCACAGACAGTGAGGGCTTTGTTGCCTCTGTGCCCGGTGTGGTGGATGACAGCCAGTCTGGCAGGCTGGGTGGGTATGAAGACAGCCGCCTGGCATCCTGCGACTGGCACCGACTGACTCAGAGGATCTTCATCTTCCAGCGGAGAGGTCAAACTCTCGCTGTAGACCACCTGGCAACGAACCAAATGACAGACATGCCTAGAAATGCTCTGCAGCGGGAACGTCTGACGGAGCTATTTGCACAGCGGGGAGGTGGTAACAGAAGAGCGGGTCGGCGCTGGAAGCACACAAAGACAAATACCTTTGGGCTTAAATCATCGTTTTCTTTGGTTCCGGCTACGATCCATTTCTTGTCGGGCGAAACCAGAAGCACGTTGACTTTAAAGCTGTCGCATATCATTAAACTGGACTTTTTAGTCAGAGCGGAATTAGCGAGCGTGCACACTGATCCCTGAGCTGTTCCAACCTGGAAAAGAAGAACAAGAAAACAGCATCTTTCTCAGATTTTTTGTTTTTTAACTCTTTAACTAGGAGGCTTTGCAGGAAGGGGTTCTCTGCAGACAGTAAGTGGGGGTTTCTTGGGTTGTGAGCGTAGTTTGTGTAAACTGGTTGGTCGGATGAACTTGTGGGGCAAGTGGAATGGTAAAATTATTATGAACATGTTGGTGAGACTAGCACCTTCCCATCTGAATTTATGGCTAATGCTAATATATTAAAAACAGAGAGCTTGTCCCAGGTGGGGTGGGGCTGTTTTGACCGAGCTCAGTTAAGAGTCCCTCCACGTGTACGACGTTAAAATTTCATCTGGCTAGCACCTTCTTGTCACGAGTTATGACTAAAACTATCATTCATTAAAACTGACATGCCCACACCTCCATCCGACCAATCACAGCTTACCCAAACTACACTCACACTCAAGAACCCCCCCCCCCCCCACTTACTGACTGCAGAGACCCCCTACATGGACTTTGCTGTGACTCACAGTCAGGAACCAGTCACTGCTGATGTTGTACTGCAGTAACGTGCAGTGAGAGGACGCAGCAGAAAAGGAGGCCAGCTCCAGACCGGTCTGACCCTGCCACGTCTTAATGAGGCCTGCAGAGTCTGACGTGATCACAACTTCCTGCTTCTCGTCCACCACAATCCCTGTTAAAGGACTCTGCACAGGGCTGCTCCACACGAGCTCACCCTGAAGGAAAAAACAGGTTTATATTGGAGAAAAAAAAAGCAGCGTTCATGCAGGTTTGTAACGAAAAATCATTGAAGGGGACGTGTGCAAAATCCACTTTGTGTACTTGGAGTCTCTACGTGTGCAGAAAAGTGGAACTTAGTTCAGTTTTCTCTATTAACTTTAGTTACGCAGCTATTTCATTATGAACCCATCTCAAAGTACACTGGATCACTATGGGGTGGGATGTGAAGCGTCTTGTTTGGTTTTAAAGAGACAGCCTCAAAACGAGTTGGTCTGAGACACACCTCAGAAAACTGGTGAAAGAGGGGCTTGTGGAGTTACAATAGGGAGGAAGTCAGACCAAAGTGTTGCAGTTCCACTTTATATAGACCCCAAATGAAGTATTTATATGTGAAAAAGAAGAATTTAAAAGCATGATATGACTCATTTAAGCACATTTTGCGAGAGCTTGATTGACATTTGATTTTAAGCTGATTAAAATCAAAACATAAAGAAGTCTCTTCAAAGCTAAACCCATTTCAACATGTTAGCTGTTAGCAGTGAGGATGCTGCACTGACCTTTTGGACGTTCCACGCTCGGACCGTGCCGTCAGAAGCAGCGCTGCAGACCACGGAGCTGCTGCTGCTGCACACGTCCGGGTGCTGGCTCAGGTTTCCCTGCAGGTAAGCCACGCCCACCACCCTGCCTGTCGGATTGGACGGATCATAAAATATTCGAGGGATGGCAAAGTAGTGGAGGACAGTTCTGTGTAGACAGTGAATGCCTACCTGTGTGTCCTCTCAGGCTTTTGCAGGTGTAACCACCGGAGCAACCTTTTGTCATTTTCAGCTCCAGCTGGGAGCGTCTCAGGAAGTATCGTTTCCACGACTGCTCACTGCCCAGAGCAGCAAGGCTGCAGAAACTCCAGCGCTGCAGGCACATCCTCCTGAGGAGAACATGTTACCAAATGTTTGCATTTTTCTCTTTTTCAACTGCAGAGTCATGTCTGCACGATGCATCAAAAATGTGTGTCTGTGTGTGAGATGCTGAAAAAAATCTGCTTGAAGGAAAATAAATTACTGACTTATAATCTGAGGGACATTATAATCTGTGTGACAACAGTGTATCTGGCCAATCTGATGGATTTTAAATTAACGGGGATGAATAAGCAGGCAGAAAAGTTGGCCAGTTTCATAAGAGAGGAGGGAGAAAATCCAATGTTTTGTAACATCACGCAGCTCTAATCAAAAAGGAGATTAAGATCCTAATACAGACCAAAATTAATCATCCCAACTGCAACTGCTGGAGTTAAACACAAAACTGTTCTACGTTTTCAGAGAGCCATTTCAAAAACCTCATAACGATGCATGAACATCTGCTCTGATCAACAAAAAGACAGGAGATTCAAAAGGGACAGACCTAAAGCCAAACAGGTCCCAAACAGCCAGAGCTCACTTCAGCTTCCAGAAGGCTCTTCACAACATACAGGTGCATCTCTTAAACTTTGAATATCGTGAAAACGTTCACAAATGTTTCAGCTCAGAAAGTGAAACTCATTTATTACAGATTAATTTCACAAAGAGTTAAATATTGAGACTTTTTTCTTCTGTTTGTTTTTTCAGCCTGAATCTCATTCTGCAATTTTCATACAATTTCAACAATTTACATATCAAACGTTTGATACATTCAACTCGTTCTGATTTCCTGACCATGACTTTTGGTACTTCAGCAATATATACTTTTGGAAATATTCAGCATTTTCAGCTTTGGTTTTAAAGAAAGGACAGAAAGGACAGAGCAGACTGTACTTCTTAAGGAAGCTGAGATCCTTCAATGTCTGCAGCAAGATGCTGCAGATCTTCTACAAGTCTGTTGTTGAGAGYGTCATCTCTTCTGCCATCATCTGTTGGGGCAGCAGCATCAGAGCCAGGGACCGAAAAAGGCTAAACAACCTGATAAAGAAGGCTGGTTCTGTTCTGGGGACGACTGTGGAATCTCTGGAGATGATGGTGCAAAGAAGGATTTTACATAAAATCAAGAACATTGTGGACAACCCTTCATCCTCTTCATCAGACTGTCATAGAAAGACAAAGTGTCTTCAGTCGGAGGCTTCTTCAACTTCACTGTAACACAGACCGCTACAGAAGATCTTTCCTGCCCACAGCCATCAGCATCTACAATAAGTTTTTAGTTAAATGAGTTACAACAACACTAAATTTCCCTCTGGGATCAATAAAGTATTTTTGAATTTGAATTTTGAAAACCACTTGAGGCTTTGTGGGTCATTTTGACTCTGGGGCAGCAGGTGGGTTAAAAGTTATTTCTGCATGAAGATTTATATTTGAACTTGAATAAAACTTGATGACAAAAATGTAATTGTTTAGTAATTATAATTACCACCTGTGCATTTCAGGGTATTTGTTTCACCTTTTTAATTTTTAAGAATAAATGATTGTGTGTAAATATGTGAAAAGAGAAACACACGCAAAAAAAAAGTGGCTGTTTTTAAATCGGACTTGGTTACTTTAAAAGATCTGCAGTTAAATACTGATTTAACCATATCTTCTTTTTTTAGGGCTAGTGGATCAGTGATGCTGCTATAATTACATAGTTATAATAAAACCTAAGTTTGTTTTGGTTTGATCAGGAGGAGTGATTAAGGGTTATTAAGGGTGATTAGAGGTGATATTTAGCACTTTACAAATAGTAATCCGTTTATTTACACTCTTCAGAAAACAGATGAGACAACAACTCACCTCCATAACCAGGGAGTCTCTGCAGCTTCGTACCAGTCCTGAAAACACACATCTTAAAATAAGAAATCATTTCACTTAGAAACTTACTTCCGCCTTTCAGCCCCTCCTCACCTTACACACACACGAAGCGCTGATTAAATCCTCTTCCGTCAGAAAAGTAAAAACGTGTATAAGACAGTCACTAATGAGGGGATATGGATCCATATCGACATTAGTTTTTTCGCCCGAAAATGTCACTAGTTTCCTCCTGTTTGAGTCATAGTTAGGGAAACTACGGAGCGCGTTCAGGGACAAACCCGGATGTTCATTTATTTATTTGGTCTGCAGTGACGTTAATCTGCCACGAGATGTCGCCATTGTACAAGGTAAGAGACCCGGACAGATTTGCGGGACAAACTGCGCAAAGATGCGACATGAGGAAGGTGACAGCTACTGTACAGGAAGAAATCCAACTAAATTAAATAAATAAACAAAATAATTTGAGTTTTAAGACATTTAAATTAGCTACGGAACTCCCTAACCCTGAGAGACAGGGAAAGAGTGGCCTTTTTTTTTATCTAGTCTGAGTCTGGACATGAATATAATATTATTCAGTAATTAAAGTAATGATTATAGTTGGCTTTTGCAACTTGTGTTTCTTGGCAAGTGTGGGGACACGCTGTTAGCAGAAATGAGCGCGTGACACCCTGACTCACTTAATAACCAAATTAATAGGAGTTCCGATCCGTCAAGGTGAATTCTCAGCAGAGGTGTGTGTGTGTGTGTGTGTGTGTGTGTGTGTGTGTGTGTGTGTGTG